GAACTTTGTCATCTTGTCAAAGGAAAAAATCAAATATTTCATCAACATCATATACAATCTAAACTACTTTTTGAACAACCTCATGCAGATATTGTACAAGAACCTTTCTACTGCTACAATAGAGAACTATGATTTATATATTTTATATGTGATTATCTTCATTTCTATATCAGAGTAACAGCCTTGAGAAAATCTGATATAAGGAAAGCTTTTAACAAGGTTTTAAGATGAATTAAACATCAATTTGATTGTGAAATAAAGATCATATGAATTAATAATGAGAGAGTTATCAAAGAATCTAATATCTTTAAAGACTGAGTAATTGAACTGAGTTTAGAAATTGAATACTCTTTGGAATATATCCATGAGCAGAACAGTGCTACTGAACAGATAGATGCTATGATAACCATTAAAGCAAGAACTCTTAGAATAAAATTCTTGTTGCTTCAATCACTGTTTTCAGAGATAGCAACTGCTGCCGTTTACTTGCTGAATAGAGCCTCTATCAAGATAGTAGAATGTGAATCACCATTTTAAGCATTAAAAAAATATCTTCATATAAATCACTATTCTTGTACTCATTTACATATCTATAGATGTCGAGTATACACGAAGATTCCCAATGAGATGCTCAATTGAAATCAATCACAGAAGCTTGATCTCAGAGCTCATATTAAATATTTCATAAAATATGATTTTACAAACAGCTTTAGAATTTGAATTCCTCATTTAGATAAAGTAATAAGAATAAGAAATGTTATATTCAATGAAAATAGGTGATATAATTTAGATGAACCTTATATTAAAAAACAGCTGTGATTATTATTCTTCTTCTTCTTCCTCCGTTATACTCATATGCAAACAGTGCTTATGACGAGTCCTTGTGTAATGTTAAATACAGGCAAGAGTTGGTTATATAGGAGAAATGCTTAGTGTTAAATGATGTCAATAATATAACAGAAATATAGAAAAATTAATGAAAGACAGAATTTGATATTTATGATACAGATTTTCAGCTCAGAAATAATAAGTTAAATCAGATAATAGATTCATCTGAAGATACTTACTTGACAAATTCACATCTCTTTATTTTAGAAGCTGAGAAGTTGACTTTGAACATAATGTTGTTCCCTTGTGAGTTTCAAACTCACATGTCTTGAGTCCCCACGCCAAGGCACTACCTGGTGGCTGCATTACCCATTCAGCCACCGGGGTAAAACAGCTGTGAAATTGAGTTGTTCAAAAGGTTGAGTTTTTGAATATTGATATACAAGAATCAAGAGTTGGCACTTCTCAATAAGAGAATGATTTATACTCAGATATTGATATCTTTCATTCTGATAAGATCCCACCGCGTACAGAAAACATTGATAAAAATAACAAAGATATTAATGAGATGTTGAAAGCGCAATTTATGACAGATGTTCTATCTACATCAAATTCTATCTCTGAATCTGATTCTAATATTGCTATCAAACCTGACTTTTCTATTGATATTTATTCAATATTATCATCTAACAATCAAAAATCTAGAGCGAATGAGATCAGTTCTGACTTCAACAAATTCAATATAATTAAAAGTATGAGAATGCGCAAGGCAACTTATCATATAGCAGTATTGCTAAAGATAATTCAAATCAAATGATCAACACTGTCTTTGCAGAACCTCTATTTAGATCAGAATCTTTCAAAATTCATCAGTTTCAGTTATCCGACTCATTTCAATATTGAAATGATATTAACAACCACCTTCATTGTGATGAATGAATTAATGCTGTCAAATGAAAATGAAACTTTATAACGCAGCAAAATATCTATGAAATTGTTAATAGATCTTCAAAAGATATTTCAATGATTTCATTATATTGATTGTTTATTTACAAGTTTGATGATGATGATTATCTTGTCAAATTCAAACCTTGTATCTGTGTTTGAAGTGATTTACAATCAGTATCTGAGTTAGATATCAAGGCTCACACTCTAGCTGTAAGAATTTTTCATATTTTACTTGCTATTATCAATATCTTTGACCTCAATACTGAGCAATTAGATGGTGTCAATGCTTTTATAAACAGCTTATTTGATGAGCTAGTTTATATTGAACTATCAGATAATTGATGAAAGTTGAAGAAGATATGAAACCTCAGAAAGAACATTTATATTTTACATTTATAACATGTTTTATATGATTTAGAAAGATCACTTCTTCTATAATTTAAAAAACTATCTAATATTCTTAAACAGTTAAACTTCATTTCAATCTCTGAGAATAAATATCTATTCATCAATGAATGGATAATTATATTCTTCTACATTGATGATACTGTTGTGATATCTCAGTCTGATAACAGAGAGGAAAAGAATCAGTTAATGAAAGATTTTAAAAATATATATGAATTCTGATAGATGAGAAATCTTGAATGATTTTTTAATATAAGAATTATTAAGCATCAGAGCTCTAAGAAGTTATGACTCTGTCAAAATATTTATATTAATAAATTGATTGATATTTATCATTTTGCTCATGCTCACAAAGTATCAACATCTCTATCTACCATTCCACTAATATCTTATCAAGAAACCGCATTGTCAGAGAATATTCATTACTATCAACACTGAATCAAATTCTGTATCTACATTGCAGTGATGATTAGATTAGATATCACATATGCAGTTGACAAGCTCACATTTTATATGATCAATTCTTTTAAATATCATTTTGCAGAGATTGATTGTGTTATCATTTATCTGCAAGATTTGAAGAATCTAATAATTGAATATAGTGTATTTGATAATGATGATTTATCAATGAATGTGGTTGAAGCAGTTAGTGATGCCTTCTTCATGAATAATTCAGATAGAAAATCAACAAAAGATTACATCAAACTTTTTCAAAAATTTATTGATTGAAAGTCAAAAAAGTAAAGAATAATAACAACTTCCATCATTGAAGCTGCACTACTAATTATATCACAGATAGATAAAAAGTTAATTTCATGAAAATAATTCTTTAATCATTTGAGATTCAATTCAGAGCACAAGATTTCAATTCAATGCAATAATTGATAAACAGTCGACATTCTTACTAAAGAAAATCCTTCTATCACAATCAAATTACGCCATGTTGATATCTACAGCAACTGGTTGCGAGAACGGATACAATCCGGCGATATCTCAATGTTGAAACTGAATAATGTCCGAATATTGACTCAAATACTGAATATCAAAATAGAATATTGAGTTGCTTATTATTTTTTATTCTTCTGATAATTACATGATAAGTAGACAGTATTTATAAGAAAGAATATGCTTGATTATACAAGCAGAGCAGTGCTTTAATGCACAGCAAGGCAATTTCAAAGAAGATGAAGCAAATAGACAACAAAACAGATTATAGCATGATATCATCTCTGATTCTTGATATACATGATATCAGCTCCGACATACCCCCTTCAGCAGAATCACATTAGTAATGAAGCTGGATAAATTACCAGAATAGAAAAGGATATAGAGAATATGACAATCAGAAAAAAATAAATAAAGAAGATGTATGAAATGAATAAAGAATATATATGAGAATGTTGAATTTCTTCTATTCAAACTCATTGAGTTTTTATATCTTATTTTGTTATTTTAGTGACAAGATCAGTTATATCAACTAATTCTATCTGTTTGATGAATTCTCTTTGCCTCTGTTGCGATAATGGCTTGGTCAACCCGTCCGCTGGCATGCTGCTTGTAGGCGTCCATTGTACCGAGATATGGCCGGAATGTATCCGTTCTCGCAACCAGTTGCCGTAGATATCAACATGGCGTAATTTGGTTGTGATAGAAGGATCTTCCTTAGTAAGAATGCCAATTGTTTGTCGATTATCACATTGGATTGAAATCTTGTGCCCTGGATCGAATCCCAGATGATCAAAGAATCGTTTCCATCAAATTGACTCCTTGCCTGCCTGTGATATAGCTAGTAGTTCAGCTTCAGTGGTGGAAGTTGTTATTATTCTCTGCCTCTTTCACTTCCAATCAACAAATTCTTCAAAAAGTTTGAAGATGTAACCTTCTGTTGATCTTCTATCTGAATTATCCATGAAGGAGGCATCACTAGCTGCTTCAACCACATTCATTGATAAGCCATCATTATCAGATACGCTATATTCAATCGCTAGATTCTTTGAATCTCACAGATAGATGATAACGCGATCAATCTCTGCAGAATGACATTCAGAAGGATTGGTCATATAGATTGTGAGCTTGTCAACTGCATATACAATATTTGGTCTAATTATCACTGCAGTGTAGATACAGAATCTGATTCAGTGTTGATAGTCGTGGGTATCCTCTGGCGATGCGGTTCCTTGATAAGGTGCTAGCGGGATGCTAGATAGAGGTGTTGATGCTTTGTGAGCATGAGCAAGATGATAAGTATCAACCAACTTATCAATATAAGCATCTTGACAGAGCCATAACTTCTTAGAGCTCCGGGCTTTAGTAATTTTCATATTAAGGAACCATTCAAGGTTTCCCATCTGTCAGAATTCATATGTATTTTTAAGATCTTTGATTAACTGATTTTTTTCCTCTTTGTCATCAGAGTGAGATACCACAACAGTATCATCAATGTAGAAAAATATAATTATCCATCCATTGATGAATAGGCATTTATCCTCACAGATTGAAACAAAGTCTAACTGCTTAACAGTATTAGATAGTTCTTTAAGTCATAGAAGAGGTGATCTTCTTAAACCATATAAAGCACATCATAAGCATGGAATATAGATGTTCTTTTTGAGGTTCCATACCCCCTTCAACTTCCATCAATCATCTGATAATTCAATGTAAACTAGCTCATCAAGTGAGCTGTTCACAAAGGCATTGACACCATTCAATTGCTCAGCATCAAGATCAAAGGTGTTGATAATAGCAAGCAAGATATGAAAGATTCTTGCAGCTAGGGTGTGAGCTTTGATATCTAGATCAGATACTGATTGTAAATCACCTCAGACACAGATACGAGCTTTGAACTTGATGAGATAACCATCATCATCAAATTTATAGATGAATACCCATTGTAGTGGAATCACTGGAGTATCTTTCGAAGGTCTATTAACAATTTCATAGGTATTTTGCTGGGTTATAGAGTCCCATTCCCATTTGGCAGCATTAATCCATTCATCGCGATAGAGGCGCTTGTTGACATCATTCCAATGTTGAGATGGATCAGATAACTGAGATCAATGAATTTTGAAAGGTTCTGATCTAGATAGAGGTTCCGCAAAGGCAGCATTGATCATCTGATTTGGATTCTCTTTGGCAAGAGATACTGCTATATGATGGGTTGCCTTGCGCGTTCTCTTACCCTCAATTATATTGAATTCGTTGAAGTCAGAACTGATCTCATTCGCCCTAAGCACTCGATTGTGTGATAATATCGGATGAATATCAATAGAAAGGTCAGGTTCGATAGCAGTGTTAGAATCAGGTTCAGGGGTAGAATCCGGCGTAGATAGAATATCTGCCATAAGTTGCGCCTCCAGCGCCTCATTGATATCTTCATTATCTTTATCAACGTTCTCCGTATGCGGGGGGATCTCATCAGGACGAAAGATATCGATATCTGAGCATAGATTATTCTCTTGTTGAGGAGTGCCAACCCTTGGTTCTTGTACTTCAATATCCAAGAACTCGACCTCTTGAACAACCCAATCTCGCAGCTGTTTTTCGATGTGAGGTTCATCTGGGTTATATCGTCTATTTTCATTGAATATAACATCCCTTGTCCTTATCACCCTATCTAGGTGAGGAATCCAAATCCTAAAGATGTTTGTAGAATCATATCCCACAAGATATCCAATATGAGCTCTGGGATCGAGCTTCTGTGATCGATTTCGATTGAGGATCTCATTGGGGATCTTAGCGTATGCTCGACATCCGTAGGCATGTAAGTGAGCACAAGAATGGTGGTCAATATGAAGATATTCTTCTAGTGCTCGGAGTGGCGATTTCCATCCTAGTATCTTGGTAGAGGTCCTATTCAGTAAGTAAACGGCAGCGGTTGCTATCTCAGGGAACAGTGATTGGGGCAACAAGGATTCTATTCTAAGAGCTCTTGCTATAGTGGTTATGATAGCACCTGCCCGTTCAGCAGCGCCGTTCTGCTCATGGATATATTCCGAGGAGTATTCGATCTCTAGGCCCAGCTCGATTACCCAGTCCTTAAAGATATCAGATTCTTTGATAGCTCTCTCATTGTTGATTCGTATGATCTTTGTTTCACAATCAAATTGGCGTTTAATCCACCTTAAAACCTTGTCGAAAGCTTTCCTTATATCAGATTTTCTCAAGGCTGTTACTGTGATATGGAAACGAAGATAATCACATACAAAATGTATGAGCCATCATTCTCCGTTGTAGCAGTAGGAAGGTCCTTGTACAATATCTGCATGGAGTCGTTCGAAGGGTAGTTTAGATCGTATATGGGGACGGCGAGATATTTGATTCTTTGCTTTGACAAGATGGCAAGGTTCGCAGAGTTCTTTGTCTTCAATATCAATGTTCTTTGCAATATCTTTGATATCTGATATCTGAACCCCTTTGGCATCGATTGGCAGATGTTCAACTGCTCTCATCGAGAGATGTTCTAAGCGTTGATGCCAAATCTTGGAGGAAGCAGTAGAGCTTTTTGAGGTGTATGAAGAGGTAGTTGATGATTTTGATATCTTAGTAGGTTCTGATTGGGAAATTCTCGCAGGTTCTGCTGGTTTGCTAGATGGGGCAATATTAGTGAGCACTAAGGTGTTCTCACTAGTTCTGTGATATTCAGTAACCAGCAATCCGCTGTATACTTCTATGCGAGCAAAGATTGAATTATCGCTAATCCTTCGCAATCTGAATGTTTTGCCATCGAGGTAGATCCCCCCTATATGATAGCAGGGTTTCCAAGCGATCAGGTTGGTGTGAGAGAATGGAATGTATGCAGCATTTCTAAGGATCACTCTGAACTGCTTGCCGAGATTGTTGATCATGTAGATTCAAACAGTTTCATATCCCACAACTCTTGTTGTTGAATCTCCTGTATAAATCTGCTCTTCTGATGGTTCGTATGTTAGGAATCTAGATCGATTATTGCAGATATGTCGCTCAGCACCGGTATTGAATATCCAGGAATCTCGAAGATAGAAGTGTTGATTTGAAGGAGAGCTCTCAACGTTCACATTTAGACATCTTGTTGATCGATCGACAGGCATGATATCAGAAGTGATTGAAGATTGATCAGTAGAATGATTGATAGAATGATCAGTAGATTCTCTGCTTGTCTTTAGAAGAACCATTCCTCTCAGTGTTGATTCTATCATCTCAGTGTTAAAAGCAGCTATCTTGATTATCACTGCATCTATCTTCTTCTTGATATCTTCATTCTTGAGAGCCTCATCCACCTTCTTACATCATTGCTCATTCTCCTTCCATCCTTCAGATCTCTGACTTGAGTTGAGATAATAACATTTGACTCAGAAATGTTTAGAATCACAAACACAGATTCTGGATCTTGATTGTTCTGCTTGCCTGTCATTAAAGATAGCAAGATTGGACACAAGCAGTTCTGGCTTGCTGTATTCCTTCTTGTGATATTCAGAACGGAAGTCATTAACCACATCTGCGAAGAAGAAGTTCTTCTTACCTCCTATCTCAACTTCCCTCTTTTGAATGGCGGCGTACGGATTGTCGATAAATATGTTGATATGGAAGAAGTCCTCTCATATATCAAAGTTGCCATCTATATCAGAGTGTTTGATTTCTGTTTCAATCAGAGTTCAGGCATCTAACCACTGATTTAGATTCAGTTTGAGCACCTTTTGCAAGTTCTGATACTTCTTCCGTATCTCATACGGATGGTCCACTGTTCTAGATGATAACCTCTTCTTAAGAGCAATTAGAAGATTCTTCATATCAATGTGACTATTTTCATTAGTTGTTATTTGTAGCTCACTAAATGCCATTGTTCTGAAGATCTCTTGTCTGATCTTACTAACATCTGCAAGTTTTTCCTTATAGATATTTCTATCATTGTTGTATCTGCTGTTCTCCATCTCCCATTTAACCCTTGCTTCCATGGTGTACTCAATAGGGAACTCTGGGGAAACAGGTTCAGGTATTTCACTCATTCTATTGAGACTTTCCTCATTAATAAGATCCAGTACTTGGAGCTCAGTGGCAAGACCTAGTATCATGTTGTACCATAGATTCCACTTCCTAGGAGAATCCAAGAAGAGTGAGGCTTTTGATGAGGAATTTTCTGCTGACATCTTGGTCGTTGTATATAGATGTAAAACCGATATAGGATCGAATGGATAATCGATATAGAATTGAATGGATATAATCGGTATAGAATACGCCGCTATCTCTCGCCGATATGTAGGTCGATGAGGATCGGATAGATGTAGATATATTGCCGCAATCGTCGCCGATGAGGAGGTCGGTGAGATCGGATAGATAGATATAATCAAATAGATATCTTTCCGATAAGGAGGTCGGTATGGATAGATATCAATATAGTTGAATAGATAGCGATAGGTAGCTAACCCGGGCTCATAACTGTCGGAACTGAATAATGTCCGAATATTGACCCAAATACTGAATATCAAAATAGAATATTGAATTGCTTATTATTTTTTATTCTTCCAATAATTACATGATAAGTAGACAGTATTTATAAGGAAGATATGCTTGATTATACAAGCGAGCAAATAGGCAACAAAGCAGATTATAGCATGATGTCATCTCTGATCCTTGATATACAAGATATCAGCTCCGACACTCAGTGTGATGAATGCCTACAACAAGTATGCCAGTGGACGGGTTGATCAAACCATTATCACAACAGAAGCAAAAAGAATTCATCAAAGAAATAAAATTAATTGATATAACTGATCTTGTCAATAAAATAACAAAATAAGATATAAAAACTCAATGATTATTATTATTATTATTATTATTATTATTATTCTCCCGTTATACTTGTATGCAAGCAGTGCTTATGACGAGTCCTTTTGTAATGTTAAATACAGGCAAGAGTTGGTTATACAGGAGGAATGCTTAGTGTTGAATGACGCCAAGAATATAACAGACACATAGGAAAATTAATGAAAGACAGGATTTGGTACTCGCGATACAGGTTTCCAGCCCAGAAACAATAAGCTAAATCAGGTAGTAGGTCCGCCCGAAGGTACCTACTTGGCAAGTTCACATCCCTTTATTTAGTATTATTACTGTCTACAATTCATCTGCCAGACAGCTTTATTGAATGTGTCAGAAAGCACTCAGAATTTCTTTATTAATAAATTTCAAATTTAAAAAATATTTGAAGACAATTGATAAAAAGCAGTGGAGATTTCTACCATTATTGATGATTACAATTATAATATGAATGGGATTGACCTTGCAAATCAGTATAGAGCTTTTTATGAAACTAATATACTCATTAATCATACTTAATTGACAATTCTATACTAGATTATTGATCATGCTATTATCAATGCTTTTATTCTTCATCAATTGGCTACTACTGACTCTGGTACTGACTCTGACACTAGTACTGTATCTCATATACAGTTTCATCAACAGCTCTATCTTCAACTCTTTGAAATTCTCAAATTCTCTATCCTATATTTAATCAAATTCAGATTTAAATTATCATTGAATTCCCTTGTTATATACTTAAACTTGTGTTTGATGTCAGTATAAAAGAAAGGTAGCACAAAAGAATAAAGAAAGAGCTTCAAGAACAAAATATGGTTATCAAGCATGTAATAATATTCCTCTCTGCTTGAAAAGAGGATGTTGAAAGGAGTTCCATTCTCATGATATTAATTAGGGCTAGATCAAATAGATTACATAAATTACATAAAAATACACTAATACAGCTGATCTCTCATATAAGCCAGTAGTTTTCATGTATTTAATACACTAATGTACACGCTAAAAAATACGCTAATTGTTGCCTCGCGGCCAAACGAGGGGATAGGCTGCCGTACCCACTTTCTCCCCGCCCAACCCCACCCCCCCGAAAGTCTATGTACAAAACCAACGAACATAATCGGTGAATAACTATGCTCTCATCTACAAGTTCCAACGGGTTGGGTTCCCTCAAACATACAATGGAAACATCCTATAAACTTACAATTTGCATGGGTGCGGCATGTATACAACTTACAGTCTAGCCATCCTGGCGGCGGCTTCGCTGATGCAACCCGAGGCAGGTGCTGAGAGTGCACCAGGTCGACGTACCGCAACTCCCCTTCTTCGGCGTCTGGTGATAAGGAGCTGGCCTCGACGGCAGCTGCAAGAACGTCGCTAGAGTAGGGGTCTTGATCCATGACCTCGAACTCTGTCTTCAAGGAACGCTGGACGCTTTCCCCACCAATGTGGGAGAATTTCCGAGGATCCATGGGCAGAGGAATGTCCTCCATCAGCATGAGGTCGGATTTACGACCATTGTCGTTATCATAATCATCTTTGTTGGTCTTCCCATATTGTCAGCTTGCATGTTTTCTTTTCTTCTTCCCCCTTTCTTCTTTCGCTTTCATATGTTTATTATTACTTTCTACTTTGGTTTTTCCATATTTCACTTTCTCTTATCACAAGCTTTCTGTTTTGGGGGTGCTTATAAGAAAAGCAAATATGGAATTCAGTTTACTTACTTGGACTTGATACTCCGCACCAACAGCAACAGTTGCTATGACGAAGCTGAGTATGAAGTGAAGCAAAGAGAAGAATGAACTCCTCATGCTAGGTTTGCACTTGTGACTGAAATATTGCATACTGTCAACATGATATTGTCTCAAAAAAAAAAAAAAAAAAAAAAAAAAAACCATCATAGCACAATAAAAATCACCACTACGCTTACTCGTACCGTTTGACAGGTATGGATCCTGGTCGTATAATCCAAACCAAGCCTCCAACACGACCGTAAGTTGGAATCGCTTTACTAAGTCCTCTCGGCGCGGCATTTAGCACATATTAGAATCCGATGCCGGACAGCTTAATTCCAAAATCAGATTATCGAATTAGGCGTATAGATCTACTTGGATCACCAGCAAGGCTGTCGGACAGAACGAACCGGAAAAGAAACGAAAAAAAGGGGGGGAAACGTGAGGAGAGAATCATTTGAATGAAGTTATCATGAACTACCTCGAGCGGCGGTACTTATATTGACTTGCTAGATGGCGGAATTCATCCGGCCATCCGTTATCAGTGCATCATCCATTAGGCCGGCATGTGACCACTGCAGTCATGTGATTCACATTCACCTCCTTTGTTTACAAAGTAGTGAGACGACAACAACAACAACAACAATAAATTGTTGGCAATCAGATTGATCAACAAAGACAGTTTAAAATTGAATAAGTTACTGCAAGTATCTGTTCAGCCCATTATAATTATAAGCCAACTATAATCTATTTAAATGTGTAAACTGAGTCTAATATTGAACCCCGCCAGGGACAATCTCATTGGCTCAGAGATTAGTACAGGTGGGTTGATTGGTTCATCTGTGCCATCACCATGGGCGTGGCCCCATGGATTACCCTGCTGAGATAAGCCGCCCCGCCCCCTTTTTCTACAATTTGGAATGTCAACTGGCGGCAAGAGAGCAGAAAGGCAAATCTCAACCCGTCCATTGATTCCGGTCAACCCAACACAGGATTCTCAAAACCTGCTAGTACTACGCCTCTCCTTTGAATTTCAATCAACCCCCGTCCTGGGCAGAGCGGCTGTGGAAATCGGGTAGACTGAATAACATACTGCATAGTTCAAGCAACTATCTGTTTCGACTGCTTTGTCAATTTGAATCACTACCGGTGTGTATACGGAAATACGAATATTTGAACGTTTAACTTTAACTAGTAGTTACGCATGGAAGCAACGGGTTGAGGGTCTCGCTACAAATCCAAGGAAGGTCCTTAGAAATCTACGACGATAAATTTATCTCAGATGATACATTGTTATATTGGAAGGGATCCGGATAGAAGGATCAGATATCGAGGCAGCAGAACATACAGATGAGATTACATCATAATGATTCACTGGCTTCTAAAAGTTTGAACCAGCTGCTGGTTATACACGTAGTGTGGTAGGGAGAAGATTGAACCTGATACGATGCTGATGGCGTCATACCGCATTGATCCTGCGATGCCACGTCTTTGGTGGGTAATTACCTGGTGGCCACGCTACGGGTCTCTTACAGTGCCATAAAATGTGGGACGTCTAAGTCATTGTATTAGCATGTCAGCAGCTGAGGCATATATGCGCGGTGCGCTAGTCCGTGATAGATAGCCTAGGGCCAAAACCTCCCCTCGGAGTAGCAGCCGTACAGATATCTATCTAGAGATTCTATTATACATGAAATTGTAAAACCAAATCAAATCAAATCAATCTATTCTTTATATTCTTTTATTCTTCTATTCTACACCCTTTCGGCATCTGTGAGGTTTCAGTTCATGATAGTATTATCAATGTTCAAGAGGTTTTCTGATGATAATGATAATGATGGCGGTGATGGTGATGGTATTCTTAATGACCAATCTCATCATGATGATTCTTATAGAAGATTCTTTGATGGTTCTTGCAAAAGGTTCTTTAATGGTTTTCATAGAGGATTCTTTAATGATTGATTCTTCAGAGAGTTCTTCAGTAGAGGGAAAAGTAATAATAGTAGTTTATATAGTCAGTTTCATTTCATTCTTCTTTTTATTTGATGTTCTTTTGATCTCTTTTTATCAGAGAATCAGGAGTTTTTAGAGGATTTTTATAAGAATCTTTTTCATTTTTCTATTCAAATATTCCATTTATTTTCTTCAGACATTCATCTTGCTTTTGTGAAATATTCATCTTGTTTTTTCAAATATTTTCATCATCATTTTGTATCAAGATATCAGTTGTAGTTGAGCTCAGTAACCTCAGTGATAGATTTGTATTTATCATTGTTAACTGGGGTATTCATTTTCATGATAGCTAGAGTTTTAAAAGACATTCTTTTCTCTATATCAATCAATTTTTAATATCTTTTTTCTGTGATTAAAGCTCTTTTAATCTTCATCAGAATCTCTTCTTACTACTGAGTCTCTAATCTAACAAGCTTCTCACTGAATATAAGATAAGGTCAGGGGTTATATAATGTTGCTGAGTTTGTTCATTAAGTCAAAAAATAGTGCCATTATCAGAGATTAAAATATAACATCAAGAGAAATATCTAGAATGATTAACAATAACTATAGCAGCAGTTTAAAATAAACAATAAGAATATTTAATAAAGCTTACAGATAGAGGTCAAGACTTAATATATACATCATAAAAAAGTATATTTAAAATGAGTTTATAGTTGTACTATATAACTGAATATAAATAAGAATATTTTGAAAGAAGTAAAGAAATCAAAATTGATTGTGAGTATGAAAATAAATTTCTTGATTTTAAAAATAATGAATATGTTTAAATACATTTGAATTCTCATATAAAATATTCTGCTCACTTTGTTTACTTGCTCACTTTGCTCATCAATGATCATGATAAGCACAATAATCAGAATGAGCAGTTATATGATTTTATATTAACATTGATTGTGAATTATTTCATTTCCGTTTTCTTCAATTCTTATTCAATAAGCTTTGATCTGTGCTGTAGATTTATAACATCATTCCCTCCCTTTTTTTATGAGTTGTCTTGGTGAGTGTATAAATAAATGACTGAGTTCTCTCTTATATTCTTTGTGAGTAAGATTCTCCTCTTAAATTATGACATGGCATTTTCTTTCTTTCATTGAGGTTAGTTTGTTGATATCATCATCATTCAAGATTTCATTATCCTCATCCATTGCAATTGCTATTTTGAATTTGACATCACATATCATATTTTTTCTTCACATAAGAAATGTTTGAAGTATGTTTGTTGTGATCATCATTGTGAATGTGAGTTGATTTCTGAAGGAAAGTGGTTGAAACAATTTATAAATTGTGTCAAGAAAAAGATGAAATCTAATATTTAAATAAATGAAAATTCAGTGAGTGAGCTAAGTGCTCATCTGAATGAACTGAATAATTCTTTGTTGAGAATTATTATGAAACTGAAACAGTTAAAATAAAGTGCAGATTTTCTTGAAAATCATCAGTTCAAATTCCTTTAGAAAGATTTGAAAATTTTTAAATTATTGAATAAAAAGAAATTTTCATTTCATTTATTGAAATTGATTCTTCTATTTTTAATGTTGTTGATTACTTCATTTCTTTCAATGATATCATTTTCCTAAATTTTCTTGATTCTTCTGCAGTTTTTGTTGCTGAAACTGCTAAATTACATCCTTCACATTCTTCAAATTTTTCATAGATTCTCAGATATTTTTTGAGACATCATATTTTTTCCATTTTATTAAATAACGTGTCGTAGCTGATATCTCGTATATCAAGGATCAGAGATGACATCATGCTATAATCTGCCTTGTTGCCTATTTTGCTTCACCTTCTTCGAAATTGCCTTGCTGCGCATTAGAGCACTGCCCCGCTTATATAATCAAGCATATCCTTCCTTATAAATACTGCCTACTTATCATGTAATTATCAAAATAATAATCAATTCAATATTCTATTTTTTCTATTTTGATATTCAGTATTTGGGTCAATATTCGGATATTGTCCAGTTCCGACATAATGTTTCTTATTGCTGATCCTCTGTTTTCTCAATATTGTCTCAACTTCATATTTTGATTTTTCAATATTGATTTTTATCTGATATTATTTTGGATCTTCACATGCATTTTTCAGTAATGAAACATGAAAATTTGAATATATTAATATGATGTCCGATAGTTGAAATTTGTAATTAACTGATTCAATTTTCTGTAAAATTTTGAAGAATCTCAATTTTTTAAAGTTTAGTTTATTACTTGATCTTTTGCTTTTAATGATTCATCATAATAAAAACATTTTCTCTTTCTCTTTAGATTGAAATATTTTCTGATGTCTTTTATCATAATATTTTTTAACTTATTTTGCTATAAAATCAATATCTAATATCAGTTATTCATATAATTTATAAAGTAGATTAGTTTTGTCTATTGCTTCATTTATCAAGTTTTTCATAAATAATTCCATTTTTTACACGTCTGATTATCTTCTATAATTGATGAAGAATGATGTGAATTGTGTTGTTACATTTTTTGAATTGTTGTATTCTATCTGTCTCATGAGTAATAATTCAATTTCATTATTTTGTTGATAATTGATATAGCATCTAAAATACTGTTCAATTATCTGATTCAATTTTTCTATTTATTTATTCATTTATGAGTGATAAGCTGTTGATATTTTATTTTTGATTTTTATTTTAGTCATTAAAGTTTGTCAGAATTTTGATGCAAATTTGATGTCTCAATCTGTGATTATCTCTTCTGATATTTCATAATTGATGAATACATTTTATAAAATCATATATATTATTTCTGATATTGATATTATTTTTTTAAACAGTATGAAGTAGATATACATCATCAATCTGTCTGTTATCATTAAAATAGAGTTATAATATATTTTTATTTTAGATTTTCTTGATTTTAACAGCTTGACAATAAAGTCCATTGCTATCAATGTTCATGATTTCTGTAAAACTGATATTGACTGTATCCTTTCATATGATGTGTGTTTATCTGACTTGCTTCATTGACACATATTACAATTTTGTATATATTCTTAAATATTTTGCCACATTTCTGATCAATAATATATTATGATAATTTTTTTCATCATTTTATCAGTTCTATAATGTTCTGCAGTTACTGTGTTGTGATTTTCTTATATTATATCATTTCATAATGCTTTTGAAATGTAAATTGATCTGTTGTGATAGATTATTTCATTATTTTTAATCATTTTTTTAATTTGTTTATCTTTTGCAGTGGCTTTCTTGATCTTTCAAATATTCTCATAATTTATTAATAAAATCTTTATAACTTATATTGCTT